GGCACCCACCATAGGTTCTTAAGGCCTTTTAGAAAATATGGTGTTGCTCCTTTGGCTACATGCAAAATCTACAAGAAAAATGATGTTGTGGACATCAAGGGAATGGGTACTGCTCAAAAAGGAATGCCCCACAAATGTCACATGGCAAAGTGACATCAGTATTGATAGCCAGCATGCTGCCGGCATTGTTACAAACAAACAAGTTCAGGGCAAGATTCTTGCCAAGAGAATTAATGTACATATTAAGTATATTAAGCACACGAAGAGCCAAGACAGTTTCCTGACACACATGAAGAGAAATGATCAGAAAAAGAAAAAAGCCAAAGAGAAAGGTGCCTGGGTTCAGCTAAAGTGCCAGCCTTCTACACCCAGAGAAGCACACTTGTGAGACCCAGTGGGAAGGAGCCTGAGCTGCTGGAACCTATTCCTAAGAATTCATGGTATAATAGGTGTCAAAAAAGTAAAAGACCTCTGGAGTGTAAAAAAAAAAAAAAAAAAAAAGGTTACATGTGATTAATGGCTACTGTATTAGACGATGCAGCTCTGAATCAGTGATTCTCAAATTTTGCTTTACATTACATTAGAACCACCTGCAGGACTTGTGAAAACAGATTCCTGAGCCCATACTCAGAGCTTCTGATTCAGTAGCTCTGGGTAGTGCCTGAGAGTTTACATTTCTAAGTTCCCAGGTGATGCTGATGATGTTGGTCTGGGGACACTTTGAGAACCACTGATCTAGACAGTATTCTGATTCCAAAGAACTGTGGCATATTGAACAAATCACTTTATGTCTCAGGTGTTGGTTTTCTTATCTTTAAACAGAATGGCAGCCTAGACTTTGGAGACAGATAGATATGGATTCAAGTTCCTGCTTCTCCATTAATTAGCTGTATGACCTTGAACAATTATTCAACTTCTCTGCTCCATCCACAAAATGGAAATAACAGTACATACCAAGAGGGTAATTACAAAGATTAAATGTGATAAGGTATAAGTGTACATACCATTTAGTATGTTTTTTAAGGGTCATTTCCTGCTAATAAGTGTATTAAGTGAAATTATATATGTGAACAGTAACTTGCACACACCCAGAAATAAGCATTTTTACAACACAATTCTGTCTGGATTCCCCAGTTCCGGCATATCAGTTATCTATTGCTGTGTAGAACAAATTACCCCCAAACTGAGTGACTTACAACAACAAATATTTATTATCTCACAGTTGCTGTGGGTCAGAAATGTGGTCAGGGCTTAGCTGGATGGCTCTGGCTCAGCGTCTCTCATGAGGTTGTAGTGAACTTGCTGGGGCTACGGTCTCATCAGAAGGCTCAACTAGGGGCTTGGGGGATCCACTTCTTTTTCGGTTCCTTTTTTTATTGTGGTAAGACATATACAAAATTTACCATCATAGCCATTTTAAGTGTACAATTCAGTGGCAGTAAGCACATTCTCATGTTGTTCATCAGTTGATAGGCCTTTTGACTAGTGTGAACAATAATGCTATAAACATGGATGTACATATATCTGAGTCCCTGATTTCACTTCTTTTGAGTAGGGGGATGCACTTCTACGCTCATTCACATGATTGTTGGAAAGTGTAAGCTCATTTGGGGGCTACTGGACCAAGGGCCTCAGTCCCTGACCACACCACACGGCCCACTCAAAAGATTGCTTGCAACATGGCAGCTTGCTTCCACCAGGGTGAGTAATGACAGAGAGAACAGGTCTTTTGTAACCTAATTTCAGAAGTGACAAGCCATCACTTCTACCATTCTCTTCATGGAAGCAAGTCCAGCACATAATCAAGAGGAGGAGATTACTCGAGGGGAGTAGATTACACAAGGTAGTGAATACCAGGAGGTGGGGGTCACTGGGAGATGTCGTAGAGACTGCCTACCACAGCCAGAATCTTGACTCTAATGGTCAAGTGGGCATGCGGTGCAGGTATCTATATAAAAGGATACCTAGAAAGGTCCTTGAACTCTAGATTTATGTGGATGACAACATAAATTTTTGAGATTAACTGAACCAAAAGCTCAGAATGAGAAATATAATCTATCATTCATTTTCATAAATATAATTCTATACAGTTAATGCCACTGTTTAATGGGATTCTGAATTCACCTGCCAGTTTGTCCTCACTGCAGAGCTGATGATTGTGGGCACACAACGCACGTCTTTGGTGTCAGCCCAGCCCAGCCCAAAAGGCCTTTCCAGTTTATACCTCAAATGCCAGTGGCCATTGGGGCTGCAGCACCACACATTCCAGATCTCACTTCCCACTTGAACACTGGGCTCTGCACCCTCAGCTTCCGACTGGAGCTTACCTTTACCCCAGCTCTGATGCCACCCTTACCGACCCTCTCAGTGCTGGCCCCTGCAGTGGACTCGCCTCACTCCGGCCTTGGGCCTGGGGAAGACCTGCCTGCCCCAGTTAGAAGACTAAGTTGCCTGGGGTCCTACCAAGCCCTTCTCCACATTCAGGGATTGTCCCCATTCTTGTCCTGTCTCTACATTTCTCCTCATGCTCCTACATTTCTTCTGTTCTCCTATGTCTCAGGCTGGGATATCACCTTCTTTGAAGGTTAGAGTCACTTTCCAAATGTGGTCCCAGCAGATAATGGAACACCGTGGACTAAAACATGAACTCCATATGCAGTCTATGTCACATCACCCACATCTCCCCTCTCACACCCCATTTTTCACTATTTGATGCCCAATACTGCATAAAGTACTTGAGTATTTTGAAAATTATAAATCAGCTTCCTCTTTTAAATTATCAAAATATCCATTCAGCAGACAAGAAAACTAAGACTCGGAGAGGTTAAGAGAATCACACAAGGGCACACCCCTAGAAGAGGGTAGTGACAGAAAAACCCCATATAGTTACTGCTGAGTCTCCAGAATGTCATGAACAGTTCGTGATTTTTTTTTTCAGGCTGAAAGCCTAGTGGGATAATCAAAATTTATATGGAGCCATCTTTTCTGTTCTGTTCTATACTTACCCACCACAACCTATCTCCCAATGTACAGAGCCAAAGTCCACTCCTATGACAGCCCAAGCACAGGAGATGAAATGCCTGTGACCCTACAGTCTTGTGGCACCAACTGACCCCACCTCCTAGGCCTCCATTGGTACAACCAGAGGAAGACTTCTGACCACAAGTGAAGCTAAGAAGATTGCCTCTTTAGGTATTTGGAATTGGGGCACTAAAAAGCAAAGGTAGTCAGACAGCAGAAAGTTAAGGTCTTAGAAAGATGGGGCTGGAGCCGGTGGCCTAGCAAATCAGTTATGTTGGAAGCCAGGACGCGTCTTCAGACATAGAATAGTAACTGGTTAAGCTCCAGGACAAAGGAAATAGGCTGCCTGGCTTGAATCGTGCCTCCCACTTATTAGCTGTAGGATTTAGGGCAAGTTGCTGAACCTTTAGGTGACTTAGTTTTTGCATCTGACAAATAGGGAAACAAATAGTATTTAACTCAAGTACTTGTTATTAAAATGAAATGAATTCACACACACAGGGGATGGGCACAGGCACACAGCACACATTCAGGAACTGCCAGCTGCCGTCATTCCAGAGGCAATGACGTTCCAGTTCCCAGAGGGCCTGCCAGGACTTCAGCACTTTATTTCAACCATCAGAGTGTTTCCACAGAAAGCAAAGAGGAAGGGTTCCTACCGCATTTTACCTAACTTAGTTTTCGCCTCACACTAAAAGACTTTTAAATTTAAAAATCATACACCATGTTTATTTGGAAATTTTATTCTTTTTATTGCAAATTTCTGGTAAAGGAAAGAACACGGAGGCTGATTCTCATTGAAACTTTGGTGAGAAGAGCACTACACTGTAGCTCGGTGGCCACCCCCTCGGCTGCACACGCCATCACCTGGGGGCCTCTGACATGCACTGATGCCTGCGTCCAGCCTCCCAGAGGTTCTGATTTAATTGGTCTGGGGGCAAATGGGCATCAGTAGCTTTTTAAACTCCCCCAGGTGATTCCAACGCGTAGCCAAGGTGGAGAACCCCTGCGGGAGCTCATTAACTTGAGGCTGGCCACATCAGAAGCACCTGAGAAATTCAGCTGACAACTGAGTGTCACCCACTTACATCACCCCCTGGGCCACCTGGTGTCCCCTGTCACCGTCTTCTCAGGTCAAATGTGCTGATGCTTCCTCCTCGGAGCCCCTAGAGAAGAGAGATGCTGGAGGGGGCGTGGCTCTCTGCACTGTGGCTTGCACTTAAATGTGGAGAACTACATGGAACCTGCTTACTCTATCACAAAAAGAAATTCATTTTCTGATTGCAAAAGAGCATTAACCTTTTTTTTTTCTTTAAGTGGAAATAGTCTTATATAGAGATAAAAAGATTAGTGACAAATAAGGAAGTATGTATTGGATGACATATTCCTTGTATAACTTCTCACGTCCAAAATTTAAAAAAACTTTTTCGTCAAGCCATTGAGAGTAAAACATTATGTACTTTAGCAGCATATTTTTTTATGGGTAAACAGTAATAGCCAGTTAGATATTACATTTATGATTTATCCTAAAAATAGAAAATGCTTTTATTTACCTGAGTCCTTGGCAAACAAAAAAAAAAAAAGTTGTTTTTGTTTTTATTTTTTTTTTAATTTTTTTAAGTTTTCCTGTTCTTTTTCCTGGGACACCTTCACAGTTTAGAATGGTGTGTCTCACTATCAGTCTTTACGTACATAGCTGAACAAACAACACTGGTGCCAATATTCAATGACTAATCAAATCTGGCGATTGAAAATAAAACACCCATCATCTACAGAGTTGCTCAAGATGAAAGTTTTTTGACAGTGTTATAAATGCAATATCAATTTGATTCTTTGTCCATACAAAAGTATGAATTCCTATTCTATTAATAATACCGAATGATTAATGTCTTAACAGTGATAAAATTTTTAGAACATTTAAAAAATACATAGGATCCCATTTTTACATCATAATTCTGCTGAATTATCATGCCTTCTATTTTGTCCGCAAAACTTTTATAGGTACAGTGCATTGACATGATAAAACCAAGGCACAAGAATACAGTTACAATAAGTGTATATAAACTCTAGCACTTTGTGCCAATTTCAAAAACATTTAGAGAGATCATAAAGTCTGAAAAATTATCACATTCTATTATGATTAATGAACAATTAACTGTGCAATAAACAGACTGTTAACCACCATTTCGTTATTAAATATATGGCTATCACTATACAGGCTGTGGATAATTCAAAAATAGTTTTAAATATTAAAACCCGGTATACCTAGGTGGTCAACGTACATATTGTGCCTTGCATTATCTAGACAATTGTCTTAAGTTTCCACTTAATTTGCAATCTATATGGCAGTTATCAATTTTTTAACTATCTTCACTACATAAATGGTGGAGTTTTTTTCAGTGTTAAATCCCTTCCCCCTACAAAAGACAGAAGATTTACAGGAAATAACCAATATAAGAAATGCACAAACAACAATAAAATCCAAATGTGGACTCAAAGGCTGAATTCTAATCTAAGGGGACATTCTCTTAATTTGGAATGAGGAGCAACACATTCCTGTGACAACTCATTCATTTCTTAATTTAAAAAAAAATCACCATGACATTTTTCAAAATAGTAAATAAATAGTCTTGGCTAGAGCATCAAGCATTGAAGAAAAATGGTTAGGTCTTTTGATTCATAAAATGAAGAAGATAAAAGCCTTTCAAAATACAGGGGGTGGATAGGAATTCCAGTGAATTTAGAGAAGTGAAATAAACTGGTAAAAATGGTAGTTAATACTTTTACAGAAGAGTGTTTTCAAGACTCCAGGTAAACATTTAGACCCATGAAAACACATTTCTTGGTACATGCACGCCATGGATGGAACAATCCTGAATACAGCGATGGCCTGGCTACAGAGGTGTCAACTCCCAGCCCCACTGCCAATGCCTTCTTTTAGGTCCTTGTCCCGACTGCCTTCACATGGGAGCTTCTGGCTTCTGCATCTGTTGGATTTGCTTCTGTAGCTGGTCCTTGTCTAGCTTCATCTTGGCCTCCAGAACTTGCCTGAGGGATCCTATGCTTTCATAGATGGCTGTAAACCCTTTAAGAAGAGGTAAATTTCACAAGAGTTAATATTAAAAAAACAATGCTGTATCAAATTCTGTAGCATCTAGTAGTAGTTGATTCTGGCAAAAATCATCAGTAGATACGAGAACCCCTGGGGTAAAATTTGATGGGAAGAAGGAGGGTTACATAGTCTCATAGCTCCCTGGAGACGACTTTTTAATTACAAAGGGGGAAAAGTAACTATTAGAATGAAGAAATCTGGCAGATACCACTTTAACCAAGTGATCACAGTTAAGGTCACTAATACGGAGAGAAATAAACACCAGGTACCTCCTAAGATACCCTGGGCAGGACACAACATCACTTCTGTGGCATTTCTGTCCAAAATGCATAACTTGAATCATACCAAGAGGAAACAGACAAACCCAAACGGAGGGACACTCTACAAAATACTGGCCTATATTCTTTAAAAATGCCAAGATTACCGAGGGACTGATCCAGATTAAAGAGACTCAATAAAGAAACATAACAAAATATGAGGTGTGATTCTGGATTAGAACCTGAATGGCCAATGGATATGTAACAAGGTGCTCAACATCACTCATCATCAGGGAAATGCAAATCAAAACTGCAAGGAGATATCACCTCACATCTGTTAGGATGGCTATTATCAAAAAGTCTCGGAGACGGTATGGAGAAAAGGGAGCCCTCGTTCACTGTTGGTGGGAATGTGGAAACAGTGTGGAGGTTCCCAAGTAAATTGACCAGTAGATCTGATAAAAATGTGGGAGCATACCAAAAGAAAATATTTGCCCACAGTGTAAAATAAGCCCACAAAAGCCCCTCCAAGATATACACTAGTTTCCGAGACATATGGAACTTGGCTATGAACAGAAAAGAATCAGCAGGTGGCACTAAAAAATCCGTGCATCAACTGATGTGCGTCAGGTGCAAGCTAAGCAATTTTAGTGTCGTGTGCCAGCCCCTCTTGGTGGCTCTTCATATACTTGGAATCCAAACAGCATTTTAGTTCAATGGAAAGTCAACTAAGGACATTTCACTGTTCCTACCCTTAGCCGGGTCCACAGGTACGCGTAGGGGATAAGAATCAACAGGTCTTCAGATCAAACAGAGAATACACAGCGTGCGCTGCGCTGCCTGTGGCCTACCCGCATTAACTTCTGCTTTCATTTCCTTCATGTCCTCACTCATCTGTAGCTCCAGCTTGCTGATTCGCCCGTGCACCTTCTCCTCTTCTTGCTTCGTTCTCTGCCCTTCCATAGTCTTCTTTTGACTCTCTTCTATTCTGTCAAGTCTGGCTGACATCTGGCTGAGCTTCTTCTCCATGTCCCTTTCACTAGCTCCCTGAGATCCATGATAAGAATTGCACTTGATTACTCCAAAAAGAAAGCCCGCATTGTATTCACATCAGCCACAATATCATTTAACAGCAATCTGCAGGGAACAGAATCGCAAGAGCAGCTTGTTTCCCACCCCAATATCCAGTCTCCCTTTCTTCCTTAACAGACCCCCCAATCTTCAGCTGGATACAAAGTCATCCAGAATAAAGACTACATGTTCCACTGTCTCCTGAGTCTGGTGTGGCTATGTGATTAAGTTCTACCCAATGAAATGTAAGCACAAGTGTATGTGGTAGCTTTAAGAAAAAATTAAAAGACATGTGAAGTATATCCTTCCTCCTTCCTTCTTCCTCTGTTCCTGGAATTCAGACGTAATGGCTGGAGCTCCTGCTGCCATCTTGAGTTATGAGGATGAGGCTCACTCTCTAGGACTGGCAAAAAGTTAAACTAGATGACTCTTGGGTCACTGAAGACTGACACACTATCACATCAGTTCTGCCTTACTACACCCAAACTTCTTTTACGTGTAACAGAAATAAGCTTCTGTTTTATTAAAGCCACCATTATCCTGGGGTTTACTGTTAATTATTAAACCAATCCACATGTAAAAATAAACAGTAATCCAAAGACCCAGAAACCTACAAATATATTAGTATAAATCTAAGTAAATCAACCAGTAGATCTGATGAAAATACAGAATACTAAAAACAAATTTTGACATATTAAATATTATCTTTCCATTCCTTTCCACCATGCTTGGTTGTAACGGGAATCTGTGTCTGCAGGTGAGCTTTGGAGGCCAGGACTACAAACACCAAGCTGTAAGTGGGCTGTGGCATGACAAAGCTCTTTTAATGGTGCACAACCTACAATTTAACAGCTCCATTATCTGGAGAAAGCAGAGTTGGAGATACAAACTGCACCAGCCAGCCACTTCTGCTCAAAGTCCCACAGGAGGAAGCAGTGCAAGAAAAGAGAAGGGAGAGGAAAATGGTCATGCTAAATAACCAAAACCAACAAAAATTTGCTTGCCAAGTACCAGTTTCAGAGCCTACTGATCTTGAACACTATATATGCAAGACTTCCTTGATATGGTTTTTAGCAGTTCTGCAAACCTTAGCTCTGTGAGAGTCTGGGATAAAAGGAGGAGGAAGATGGAAAAGAAAATAGTGGATTCTGTGTACATGCCACACTGTGATACCTCATACTATAGGTACTGTGTAACGGAGGGGTCTGGAAGGAGAAATCTACTCAACACTAGTAAAAAGCAAAACCAGATCATGAAACTAAAACAAACAGGGATGAAGGTAGTAACTGCTAGTTTTATTTAGAAATGCAGATGGACAATTTGGATCATTAAAGTCTTCACTTAAATTTGTCTTAATTGAAAATACTGAAATTTTCTACTTAGCCTTTGTTAACTAAAACAAGTCAAAGTGCTCTATCTATTAAAAAATACAAAGAATCAATATGCACTATGGAAGTGGATTCTAGAGCAAGAAACAATTGAACAGCTTTAGGAGTTGCCAAATAAATCAGTGATAAGTTACTAGGTATTAGTCAGACATTGTAGGCCCCCACTGAAGAACTTTTCTAAATCATTGCTAAACATCAATACCTACACTGTTTTCCTTAACAATCAAAGAAAGCTGATCAATTTTCTGTAAAAGTTCTTTTTCTATCCGTTCTTGTTCCTGCTGCAACCAACTCCGTGCAGATAAAATCTGGTTACTGAGTTCCTCAACTGTACCTTTAAATCTAAAAAATGAAAATTAGCAAGTTAGATGTAGACAGTTTTTTAAATTACATCAAACAACCTCAATTTCCAACTATCAAATTTCTGATAAATATGCCAGCATTGAACTCAGCTCAATCAGAATTACATGCTTACCTTTTCTTAGAGTTGCACTTAGCACTAAGTTGGGCAGGGGGAAAGGCAGGAGGACACAACAGAAAAGCATCCGATGGTACTTCCTACCTGTGAAGAGCTGGCGGTGTGGGCACTGGGGTGACACAGTGACACAGAGCTGTGCCAGGTGCTAACCTTTGCAGTTCCGAGGGCCCATGGTGCTCCTGGCTCAGAGGACTAGTGTCCCCATCTCTTCTTCCAGCCTCTCCTACTTCCCTGGGCTCTTCCTCCTTGTCCCTGTTATCTCCCAGGACTGGAGCCTGGATCCCTTTCTAATGTTCCCCAAATTGCTCTTGCCCCATGTGGATATTTCCTAATTTAAATCAAAAGGAAAATTGAAAGAAAATAGAAACCCTTCCAACCCTCCATTCCTTTAGTCCTTTCCCTTTCCAAATTCCTTAAAATAACTATTCATACATGTTTCTTCTCCTTAATTATTTTTTCTTATTTTTCTTATGACATGTAATAAAAGTACAGAAGAATATATATAATGTTATGCAATTTAAATAATATTAATAATAACATGAACATCTACTGTGTTAGTAGAGCCACTAACTGTCCTGCAATACCTATTCTTCTCCTCTTCCTTATTAAGAAGCCCTCAAATGTCCACTGGGTACAAGGCTGCCTCGCCAGAGACTACATTTCCTCAGTCTCCCTTGCAGCTAGGTGTGACCACGAGACTAAGTTGGACAGTGGGACACGTATGGAAGTGATAAGCACACTTCCTGGTCACATCTTTTAAAACAAAGCTTCCACCCTGGTTTCTCTCCCTGTCCCAGCTGACCGGGAAGGGGCAAGGACTGGAGCAACGGAGAAGCCATATAGAGTGATCAGTGCTGCCGCCTGTGCTGGACCACTGCTCTCTGCACTGCTATGTGAGAGCCACAGCACTGCAGCTAGCCTGCACCCGAACTGATACAGCTGTGTACCCCAGCCAGGTTAAGACGCAGAACATTCCCAGGACCTTAGAACCCCCAGTTGTACTCCTGATCGCACCACCCCCCAGGAAGTAACCATGAACTGGAATTTACTCCTCTTTATCATTTTACTCTATTGTTTTCAATCCCAAAACAACATATTTTTCAGCAGTGCATATTTCTAAACTTTATATAAATAGAGCAATAATACAGTGTGAGTTTTCTACAACTTCTTTTTTTACTTGATATTATGTCTGTGAGATTCATCCGTGCTGGTGTGTATAACTAGCTAACTCATTTTCATTGTGGAGTAATATTCCGTCTTAGGAATATACCACAGTTTATCCATTCTTCTGTTGGTGGGCATTTGTTTGGGTTTGTTTTTATCCACCTTTGCTATCAGAATAATACTGTTATGAAAAACTGACACATAGCTCCTAGTTCAGATGTACAAGAGTTTCTCTAGGGTGTGAACACATCTGACTTTACCAGAAACCCCCAGGTTGTTTTCCAGAGTGACTGTACTACTTGACATTGCATTTGGTGGTATAAAGAGGTCCCATTATCCACATCCTCGCCAACACTTTTGCATATCTGATGTGAATTTTTATCCTCTGATTTTTCTAACATTTGGAAATTATACACTCATTTAATTGTTAGAATAGAAATTTTAATATGCACATTTATCAAAGTCTAAAGTTATTCAATATCTGTAATT